GGGGCGGGTGTGACCCCATGGGTTTCCCTGCCCACCAGGTGCTTGGAGGCCCCGCCTCCTGACCCCTCCACCTGCACCCGGAAACTTCCCTTCCAACTGAAACTTGGGACCCGGAGATGATGGCCAAGGAGAGAGGCTGAGAGGGAAGAATGTGATGAAGTGTCAAGTCCCTGTCAGCTGCGCTGGTAAACTCCGTATTTCCCACGGCATTTAAATGCCTGCAGGCGGATTAATAAGGTCTGGGTAAGAGCGCGGCCGTGCGTGCTTGTTCTATCTGGAATGCCAGTTGCTCAGGCTGTCTGCATGTTGATGGCGGCCGGGATTGAGGACAGGCGCGTGCTGGCTTTATCTCGCCTGCGCAGGCTGAGGAGCCTTATCAGGCCCGCCCGGCTGTGCAGCTGCGTCCTCAAGGGCTCCCGCTGCCTCCCGCTGCCTGCTTTGTAATCAGAAGAGAAGTTGCTGCCTTGATATTTCCATTTTTATCTCTTTTATTTACTTCATTTTAATGTGTCTTTCAGGGAATATTTTCTTTGCAACAAGGCAAGGCTGTCGGTAGCTTACATCTTTCTGTGGCCCCTGCCCCTCGGCCAGGCTGAGGAAAAGGGGGTGAGGGGTGGCGGTCTGGGCTTCCCTTCTCCCCAGCACCTCCTTTGCCCACCTCAGCCTCTCCCCCTTGGTCCTGGCCTCGTCTGCTCTCTTCTCCTCTCTTCTCCTATCTTCCATCTCCTGCTTTCGTTCCCATCTGCTTCCAGCCCTTCCTGGCTGCCATTGAGGGGGTGCTCGCCAGTGATTCTCCCCTCCGGATCCAGATCCAAGCCCCACAGCCTCTCTGGGCAGCCCCTGCTGCTCCCCATGCAGTTCTCCTCGCTGGTTCCCCAGGATCCCAGCCCCAGCACAGCCCCCTCTGAGGCCTCCACTCCAAATGCCAGCTGGGTGCCCCGATAGTGGGGCCCAGGCACTTGGGACCCGGGTGTGGGGCTGAGCCGGGCTCAGCCAACACAGCCCGCCCCAGTCGAGGAACGGGATGGTTTTGAGTGCGTCCACCATCTCTTCTGCTGCCGCCTGATCCTGAGAGAGATGCGGTTATATTCCTCTCAGAGGAGGAAACTGAGGTTCCAAGGGGGTTCTCGGTCACAGCCACCTTGCTCCTGCCACAGCTTGTGACGGAAAGCAGAACGCAGGATGGACGTGGCGCGTGACCTGCTCAGCCTCGCTGACCAAGTGCCTGGCCCATCTGCCGCCTTGCCGTGCCGCCCCTCCTGTGAGGCAGGGGTCAGAACACGCTCATGCAACAATTCCGCGAGACTGCGGCCGGCAAAGCAGGTGGGATGGGCAGGGGGCAGGAGCCCACACCCTGACCCCTGCTGAGCCCGGCTCTCTCTGTCCCCCGGCTCCTCTGTCCCCCGGTTCCTCTGTCCCCCCGGCTCCTCTGTCCCCCTGGCTCCTCTGTCCCCCCAGCTCCCTCTGTCCCTCCGTCTCCTCTTTCCAGGCTGCCTGTGTCCTCCAGCTCCTCTGTCCCCCGGTTCCTCTGTCCCCCCGGCTCCTCTGTCCCCCC